TGCTCTTGACTCTGCCTTTTGACTAAATTATGTGCTGTGATCATGTACAAATAATTTCCCCCCTCTGGGCCTTAGTTTTCTCCTCTGGGAAAAAAAGGGTGGGCTATTAGATGAATCAAACACATAGCCAGCAGGCCACAAAACTCTCCAGTGCCCTGGAACCAAATTAAAATGTAATTGAGAAATCTTAACAAAATTAAAAAAATATAATACAACATAGGTCATGTTGATTTGTGGTTTTCTAAGTCAATATGCAGCCCTGAGGGATTTGTCTCTATTTGAGTTTGACACCACTGGACTAGATTATCATCTGCTCATTTAGTCTAAGGTCTTTTCCAGTCCTGACATCCTGTATTCTATCATTCTCTCATCCAAAGCAAGAAATGATGTGGTCCAATGGAATAAGCCTTTGACTTTGAATCAGAAGAGACCTGGATAATCCCTGGGCAAGGCACTCTCTAAGCCGTGGTTTTCCAGCTTCGTGAAACAGGCGTACAAAAAGGCAGTATCTGTAATGGATAGAGAGCTGGCCTGAGGGTCAGAAAGAAGTGATTGTAAGTCCTATGCCTGCTGTATACTGGCTCTGTGTGTGTGTGAGAGAGAGAGAGAGAAGTTAGTGCTTATACTGCCCACTTCACAGAGTTGTTATGGGAAAAGTGCTTTAGAGATGTGGGACCTATATAAAGAATTCAGGGAAGTTTGGGAAGACTTATATGAACTGCTGCAAAATGAAGGAAGCAGAACAAGGGGGGAAAGTGAATGACTACAAAATGGAAATGGAAATGTAATAGGGGTAATCCCTGGAGTGGACATACAGCCTAGTTCTTTTGCTGAGCGAACATTATCCTTTGCTGAAATGACACAGCTGTTCTTTATTGGTCCATCCTCATAACTGAGGGGTTATGTGGAAGATGATTGGTCAAAGAGTCAGGAGTAACTCCCCAATCAGTGTGTTGTAAGAGGAACTAGAGAAATAGCTAGCTCTTTCCTTTAGGAATTTTTTCTCCCTCGGGCTTTTGGCAAGGGGAGGAAGAGTATTTCTATATTTCTCTCTATTGTCTCTTTCTCTCTGCCACCCACTCTCCCTTCCCCAGCATTAATGGTGATCTGCAACTTGAACACATAGCAATGACAATCAGCCTATACAGAGCTAGGTGGCACAGTGTATAGAGTGCTGGAACTGGAGTCAGGAAGACTCATCTTCTTGAGTTCAAATGTGACCTCAGACATTTATGAGCTGTGTGACCCTGGGCAAGTCACTTAACCTTGTTTGCCTCAGTTTTGTCATCTGTAAAATGAGCTGGAGAAGGAAATGGCAAACTACTCCAGTATCTTTGCCAAGAAAATCCCAAATGGGGTCACGAAAAGTAGGACATGACTGACAACTGACTGAACACTATGCCGACCTGAGACTTGAATGTCTGGTTATTTCTTTCACTTTCTTGTTTTTTCCTAGCATGAGAAATGAATCTTTACACACCTGGTAGTAACCTCATCAGTTACAGAAGTTGGAAGTTTTCTCCTGTTAGGTGCTAGCTATTGAGTAATTTTTGCAATAAGAATTTTTCTCCAAAGAGAAGATCTTCATTGTCAGGAGGACTCTGCAGAAGAAAGTCCAGGGCACCATCTAGTCGACTAGGATATCTGGACTTTAAGAATTACTTGGACAGTGCAAACCTGAGGTGAATCTAAAAAACCACTTCTCCTGTCTTACCAAGTTGTCTTTACCTCCTAGTAGAGCATAGAAAGTGTGAGGGGCTATTATTTTATGTTTTTCCATATTTGTTAACATACTTCTTTGAGTTCTGTTGTGTTATAAACAGGGTCTTCTTCAGAAAAGGACACTCAAGTTAATAATATGAATATTAGGTATCGTTTTATAGGTTTATTTTCTCCACCACAGAAATGCTTAAGACACCCAAGAACTCAAATTCATTCATTAGCAAACATAGAAAAACATAAAACAAATAACCCTTCACACTCATTATGCTCTTCTGAGAGGTAAAGATAACTTTGTGGGACGGCTGAACAGAAAATTACCGTTCACGTCAGATCTACTGCACTGTTGAAGCAGCTCAAGAGGTCTGAAAATCCTAAATGGCCAGGGCATGTCTTGGGCTTACATTTTAGTCCTTCTCTTGTAGAATACCCTTGGCAATGGTTCCCTTCTCCTCCAAGAAGCAGTGCTATTTTGAAATCACCTCCCCTTGCGTTGCCAGCACTCCAGGATCAAAAACTCTTCACCTATAGCACTCATTAAGTAATGACCACAGTTGAAACCATCCATGTCTCCAGATTGCTGGGTTTTGACTGATAATCAGAGAAGAAAACAGAAAGTTGAAGGCGACCAAAGATTCAGGCTTGCCTAAGCAAGCCCATGTTCTTGCTGCCTTGTGGTTGTAATTACGGGTGCAGAGGGAGCAGGGGAGAGAAATCCTCTTTGCTGGAGATCTAAGGCCCCTTCTTCATCTTGTTACTACCAGCCTAGCACGATCAATACCACCTGAGCAATTACAATAGCTTGCTACTAGGTCTTCCCATCTCCACTCTTTCTAGCCTTCATAAAAGTGGGCATTTCATTGTTGGGGGCAGCTTATGAAATTCCTTTTTATGTCGAGGTGAAATGTGCTACCTTGTAGCTTCCACCTCTTGGTCCTAAATCTAACCTTGGGAGCCAGTTACAATATATCTGATCTCTTTTCTATATATAACTCTTTGATATTTGAAGGTAACTATTATATACTAACCCTCCAACCATATCTCCCCCTACTACACACCCTCTCAGTTTTTTTTTCTTTTCCAGGTTAAATATCCTCAAGTCATTCAGTCTTTCTTCATATTATTTGGTTTTGAATCTTTTCCCTATCTTGATTACTCTCTTTTGGATATGTTCCAACTTAGCAATATCTCTTCTAAAATGTAGTGCCCATAACTGAACATAGACTATTTGACTAGGGTAGAGGGTATCAGGAATGGCCATCATTCTGGACGTTATTAGTTTCTTTGCCTGCGTTATTTATTTAACACTTCTCCTATGCTGCCTCTACTGTTTCTTAGAATGTTGTCTTGTAGTGTCATTTAAACTTTTGCCTTGTTGGGCTTTTCACATGTCTATGTCTTCTCTGCCCAAATTGACAGGAAGCCCTTCAGGACACAGAAGGATGCTGCAGCATCCTGTCTCATCTACTGCATTTAGCAAGGGTTCATTAAATACCAGTTGACTTAGGCCTACTGAGAGAGATGGGGGAAGAACTAAAGGGAAGTATCTACTATTTCACACGAACAAAATCAGAATTCTCAGAGTAGAAGTTAGGACCTACCAAGGAGGGTAACCACCCTCCACCTCACCTGGAAACTGGTGGTATTGAAAGAGGCAATGCAGGGTAGTGGAAAGATTAGAATTGAATTCTTCTTTTCTTCTTCTTCTCCTTTGTATCCTCAGTGCCTAGAGAGGCAATGTGGCATAATGTATAGAGAGCTGGCCTTGGCATCAGAAAGACCTGGCTTTGAGTCTCACATCTGATACATACAGGCTATGTGACTCTGGATAAGTCCCTAGATCTCTCAATGCCCCAGGTAATGCTTGAAGACTATATGCTGCAGGACAGTTGCAGTTTAGGATCAATAAAAGATGTTTTCCCTGGGCCTTCTATACCAATGAAATCATAGGTTGGTAAAATAAAAGTTCATAGTGGCTAGCATGTGTTGTTGTTGTTGTTCGGTCCTTTTCTGTTGTGTCCAATTCTCTGTGATCTCATTTGGGTTTTTTTGCAAAGTTACTGGAGTGGTTTGCCATCTTTCTCCAGCTCATTTTACAGATGAATGAGAGACATTATTATTTTTCTATTATATTAATAACCAATTATTAAATTAGGATGTAGGTTCTTCCCTTCTATGTCTTCATTCAGGGACCAGTCCCCGTAGATCAGTCTCTGAAGGACATTGCTGATAGATAAGATTGCTCAAATCCTCTGGATATATGCTCCATAATCTTGGGTGGGACCCCACCTAACTAGAAGACCTTATAAGCAGAATCTAATCTAAGTGAATTCTTGCCCCTAGGAAATGATCCCATGTCATTGTACCCCTCCATTAGAATTTAGGGTGACCCAGCTTATGACAGAGAAAATCAACCAGAATGGTCTGAGTAGAGATAGATTCCTTTACCCAGATTTCTGGAGGTAGCTGAGTCTCATGATCGAGTCATGTTCTCAGCAGGAGGAGTTGAAGACTTGTAGTTTAACTCTTCATTAATATGCCCATCCCCTCATTAATTGTTTACAAATTAGAATTGATTTTCACCTGGAACCTTTTTCCCCGAAGGTATTTAAGCATTCAGTGATCTCCATGGTTGTCTTTGGTTCCTGAGAGACCACTGACCATCAGTTCATTGATTATTTACTAGCCTAATTAATAAATTGGTTATTAATTACCCAGGAACTCTCTCAGGCTTTTCATTTGTCACATGAAGAAACTGAGGCAAACAGAGTTAAGTGACTTGCTCAAGGGTCACACAGCTAGTAAATGACTGAGGCCAGATTTGAACTCAGGAAGATGAGTTTCTCTGACTCTGGACCCAGCACTCTATCCACTATGCCACCTAGCTGCCCCATGTAACTGGCACTTAATACTTTGGGAATTAGGTTGAATATAATTTTAGACGATCTTTAAATCCTAGCTCTGGTATTTTCTACTTTTGGGACCACAGACAAGTCACTTCCTTTCTCTGGGACTCCGTATTCTTTGCTGTAAAATGAGAGGCTTGAACTAAATTATTTCTCATGTCAATAGATTGTAAGCTCCTTGAGTGCAGGGACTGTCTTTTGCCTCTTTTGTATCTCCTGTACTTAGCAGAGTGCTTGGAAACATAGGAGGTACTTAGTAAATATTGATCGGTTGACTTTCAGTCCCAAGTCTTATGATTCTAAAGGTCATGCCACACCGTATTTAGAATGGAAACTTGAACCAATGGGGAGGGATGCACAAGCAAGCTTCATTACCTGCCCTTCAATGATTGCCTCCATTGGGTCAGCTTGTTCTTATTGAGCCCTTCTTCCACTTTCTTCAGTTTCCCCTTGTCTGGGAGTATGAAAAGCCCTGTGACATTTCCCTTAAAAGGTATTTCTAGAATTGTACAGGAGAGCTGGTCATCATAAGCAGTTTTGTACTTGCCACCTCGGTACATCATGGGGACTTTCACTGACTTCCCATTGATCAGAAAGAAGTCATCTTCTTTTGTGTCCTTTGGGTTAAACTTCTTTTCCCATTCACCTTAGGGAGTGAAAACAGACAAAAAAGTGACAGATAATTCTAGGAAAGCAGAGATTAATGGGCATCATGAACTTTTAGTCACAAGATACACAGATCTGAAGTAGGGGTCGGGGAGGGGGATTGAGTTCTAAATTCCAGCAAGACTCACTGGAGTTGGGAATGGGTTGTGGGTGGAGGATGTTATAAAGAATGTGACAGATGTCCTCGTACAGTGGTAGACCTTGCCCATATGAGCTTCTTCAATACTATTAGTGTTATTGATTTCTTAGGTGACATCCTTCTCTCCACCAAAGCAGTTTATAGCCCCTGTATTTCTCAGGTCTCCTGACCTGAGAATTAATCATCTGTGTTGAACCTTCTCATGATAACCTCTCTGCCCTTAGCTAGGCTGTTCTCGGATGACAGATTCACATTTTATTGCTGGGCCCATACCCAAAACCTTTTGAGATTAGGAGGAATCGTCAGAAGTTGTAGGACATTGATATAGACTTCAAGAACCCAGAGTCACCTCTCCTCAATGAGACATCTGAGGGGATCATAGGATTAGAGGCACCTGTTAATGGACTATCCACTATCCTCTCTCTCTCTCTTTCTCTCTCTCTCTCATTGGATCTCTCTGTCTCTGTTTCTGTCTCTCTATCTCTGTCTGTCTCTGTCTCTTTCTTTCACACAGATATACAAACACACCAGTCTTTGCAACCTGAAGGAAAGAAAAGAGAAAGAGAGAAGGAAGGAGAATGGGAGAAAAGGGAGAGGGAGGGAGAGTGGAAGAGAGAAATAGAGAGACACACACAGAGGCAGAGAATCAGAGAAATGGAGACAGAGAAACACAGAAAGAAGCATAGTGTCACAAACATAGAGAAGGAAAGAAGGTGGGAGGCAGGGAAAAAGAGAAAAGGAGGGGAGAAGAAGGGAGGAGAAGAAAGAAGAGAAGAGGAAGAAGAGAAGGGAGAGGGGAAAAAGGAAAGAGGGAGGAAAAGAGGGAAGGAGAGAGGAGAGAGAGAAGAGAGAAAGGGAAAGGGGCAGGGAGAGAGAGAGGGAGAGAGAGAGAGAGAGTATGGAAAATAATCATTGGAAGATCTTATATTTACATCCTATGGAAAACTGACAAACTCTGGCTACAGGGCTGGTTTTAGTCACTTCAGAAGAGCAATAACTTTGCTATATAACTTTTAGAAGGTTTCTAACTGCATAGTCATACTTCGTATCTTTTCAAAGCACTTTAACACTCATTATCTGGGACCCAGGAAAGAAGCACAGAGGCAAAGTAATATGGATCCCCTAGACTAACCAATAGGAACTTGTTCATCTTCCTGCTACACTTCAATTACTGTGGGAAGACAGGGATGAGCTGACAAATTCTTGGAATGCTCATCAAGTTGGATTAACTATAGTGATCAATTCTACTACTTCTTTCTCCCTTCCTTTTCCTCTTCCCCCTTTTTTTTTTGCTTAGCTTTGAATTTCCTTTTTTTATTTCATTTTCTAGAAAAGCTGATTTAAGAATTTAAGACAGCAGGTCTGGATATCTACTAATGTAGGTAATTCCACCCATCATTGCCATGGAATAAGTAAATCACTGTCAGAGTTGAAAGCAATACTCAAGGTCATTCTCTTGGCAGCATCCCTGCCAAGTTGTCACCCATCATCCATTCTCTGTTTGAAGATCTCCAGGGATGGGGAACTCAGTTATCTTCTAAGTCCTTTTTGGACAATCTGAATTATGAGGAAATTTTTCTTTACAGTAAGCCCAGATCTGTCTTTCTGATACTTTTACTCCTACTGATGCTTTCTAGGGCTAACCACAACAAATGTAAATACTCTTAGTCATGGCAGTCATGCAGATACTTAAACTTGGCTCTCATGTCTTCATGAAAATGTTTCTTCTCCAGACTAAACCCAAGCATTTCCTTCAAATGATCCTCACATGACATAACTTTGAGGCCCTTCACTAATCACAGACTCATTGCTAAGAGCTAAAAGAGACCTCAGTTTCCTCATTGATAAAATGAGAAGTCTAGACTAGATGATGTCCAAGACCCAAAACGGGCAAAATGAATGGCACCAAGTTGTCCTGATGGTGGCAAAGCTAGCTAGGCTACAAGTTGTAGATTTGGAAAAATATTAAAGAACATAGAATCACAGACTTAAAATGGGGAGGGGATCTTAGAGGCCATCTACTTCAACCTCCCTCATTTTCCAGATGAGGACACTAAGGGATTAAATGACTTGATAAGGTCACATAAGCAGGAAGAGCCATGGGGCAGGATTTGACCTCATATCCTCTGGACTCCAAATCTAGCATTCTTTCCAATGTATCACAGACCTCTTATTTAGTTCAATCTCTGTTTGACGTTTGATTTATACCAGTGCTATAACAAAAACAACCAACCAAAAAGTACAATATGACACTCTTAAGTATTTGAAGTTACATCTTTTCAGTCCTATGCTTTCAGGTCTGGAGAGTTTACTAGCTCTTATGTGACCAAGTCTTTGATTAGAGGTGACTATGTTCCTGGAAATATCCCTAGGACTGGAGTCAGGACTTGATCTGACAGCTGCTAGATGTCAGATGACCTTGGACAAGTCATCTCATGGAATGGAAAGAAACAAGTGTTCAGTAAACACCTACTATGCGCCAGACACTGTGCATAGTAGTGCACTTTACAAATATTACTCTTTTGATCCTTACAATAGCCCTAGGAGGTAAGTGCTACCATGATCCCTTCTTATGGTTGAGGAAACTGAGGCAGACAGAAGTTAAGTGGCTTGCCCAGTGTCACTCAACTAATAAATGTCTGAGGTTGCATTTTGAACTCAGATCTTCTTAACTTCAGGCCCAGTGCTCTATCCACTGTGCAGCCTGCTGCCCCTAATCTATCTCATGTGTCAGAGTCTCTTTCCTCATTGTTAAAAAGGGAAATTAAAACCAAATACTAAGTATCTTGAGGATTGTGATGAGGCTCTAATAAAGAGTGTGGGCAAAGCTTTTTTATACTCCATAGCCTTATACAAATGTCTTTATATAGCAAGGCTTACCTTGAAAGTAAATATGGCCAATCAGAAGTAACATCGTGCCCTGATCCAGATTCTTTATCAAATGATTAATTTTCCCATGGGTTTTCTGACTGACATAATCGTTGATTTGTGTAATTGCTTTCTGAGGGTCCTTGAGATCCACAGGGATGGCTTCTGCTTCATAAATATTCTTGACATCATTCAGAAACCTTTTCTGGACTCTCAGCTGGTCCTCGATGAATATAGTATTTCCCATGTGGAGCTTGAGATCTCTGTCAGGTTGGTTGAGACTGTGAATGATGTAATGGAAGCCTTCATAGATACTCTTCACGGGCACATTCCTTAGGTTGAGACTTTCACTTAGTTGAGACAGGGTGTAATCTTTTGCCCCCAGGGTCAACATGGAGAAGCCAGTGGAAGCACTCAGAGGGGAGAAAAAGAGGTTCTCATCTTTACTTTTCTGGGTTATCTCTTGGTACATCTTACATGCAAACTCAGTGTTTCGGTCAACAATTTCTTTTCCAGCTTGTCTCTCTTCCGACTCCTGGAGTGGGTGTCTGGCCTGGTGTGTACCTTGATGATTTTTGTCAGGGGGCTTCTGCTGCTGAAGACCATTTGTGACTAAAAAACATCCAGCAAAGAGCAAAGCCAGAATGAGGGTGCTTTTCATTGTCATTGAGAATTATTCTGTTGAAAGATAGGTAAAAAGTTAGCAGAGGAAATAATGCATTGGATCCAAGTGTTTGATTGCTGGAAGAAACCTGAGAGACAGTATAGACCATGGATCCCTTTGGCAGGCTAGTGAAATCTGTGAACCCCTTTTCAAAATAACATTTTTAAATGCTTAAAATGAAATCATACGATTATTGAGGAAACCCATTTTATTGAAATATAGTTATTATCATAACAAAAATAGCTAACATTTATATGGCATCTACTATGGGCCAGGTGCCATGGTAAACTTAAGTGCTTCGTATCTATTATCTCATTTGTTCCTCATAACAACATTGGAGGGGTAGGGACTATTATAATATCCATTTTAAAGATGAGGAAACTGAGGCAAACCAAAGTTAAGTGACTTGCCCAGGGTTAAACAGTGAGTGTCTTAAGTGGAAATTTGAATTCAGGTCTCCCTGACTCTAGTCTTGGCACTCAATCCCCTGTGTCATCTGGTTACCCCTATATAAAGTATTTGTTAAATGTTCACTATCCTTAGATTAAGAGCCCTGGAAGTGTAATTTCTTTATTTTGTAGAAGAGGAAATGGAGGCCCAGAGAGTTTAACTGACTTGCGCAAGAGCCCAAAGAAAGTAAATAGGAGAGCCAAGTCTTTTTAAATCCACTGCTCTCTTTGCTGTCTCATCATCTTCCCCAAGTGGAAGTGGAGAAATGTGTTTAGCATCTCAGGATCAGTATAAAGTTAGTTTGTACTCATTGTACTATAACTGAGGATTTTTGGTAAACACTCATTGTAGCACTGAACTCATCTAACCTTGGTTTAGATTCCTGCCCAGCTCATCTCCTTGGAGGCAGCGTGGTGCAGTTGGAGAGAGAACAAGTCTGGAGTCAAAAGACTTTAGTATGATCAGCTCTGGTTCCTACTGGCAATTCAGAGGCTCTGAAGTCTCAATTCAGCTAAAAAAAATTATTATTTGTAAAGTACTGTACTTGGCATTGGGGATCCAAAATTAGAAATGACACTGCCACAGGATCAGAGATGTACAGTTGGTAGAGGCAACATAATCCAAATTCTTCATTTTATTTTATGTATCTTGCAGATTAAATTTTATTTTATTGTCAAATCTAAATTCTTTCCAACATCCTCTCCCCCTCCAGGTGAGAAAGTAAGAAAAATAAATCCCATTACAAATGTACATAGTCAATCAAAACAAATTCCTACATTTCGTATGTGTGTGTGCATGTGTATGTGTATTTATGTATGCATATACATACAACACATATATTTACATTTATACATATATATTCAAATCCCATATGAATTAATGAAGAATAAAGTAGGTAGAACCAGAAGAACAATTTATACAATAACAATGATATTATAAAAACAAACAACTTTGAAAGACTTAGGAACTCTAATCAATCAAATGACTGACCACAATCCCAGAGGACTAAAAGATGGAACATTATACTTCATTCCTAACAGAAGTGTGATGGACTCAGAGTGCAGATTGAGACGTACATGCACAATATTATATATAACATGTTTATAATATATCATATAATGCACAATCACATTATACAGTTATATTCTATACATAATGTATTTATTTAATATGTTATATATTTTATAGTAGTTGGTCATTATATTGATTAGAGTTCCTAAATCTTTTGAAGTTTTTTACCTTTACAATATTGCTGCTATTGTATAAATTGTCTTCCTGGTACTATTCACTTAATTCTGCATCAGTGCATACAAGTCTTCCCAGTTTTCTCTGAAACCATCATCTTTGTCCAAAACCAACCTTTCATTTTATGGATGAGGAGCCTGAGAGTGACTTGCCCGAGGTTACACAGATAGTAATTGGCAGACTGGATTTGAACCCATGTCCTTCGACCCCAAATCTAGTGCTCTTTATACTATGTCATATGACCACCAAAGAATTTTGAATCCTTTGAGGGTAGATCTCCAAAACTAGTACAACATATAAACAAGTTTAATATAAGGCAGGCATGATAGAGACAGAGGAGAGATCTAGGCAAAATGCTCTAGAAAAATGTATGAAATTTTGTGTTCAGTCATTTTCAGTTATGTCTAACTTTTTGTAACCCTGTTTGGAATTTTCTTTGCAAAGATATTAGAGTGGTTTGCCATTTCTTTCTCCAGTTCATTTTATAGATGAAGAAACTGAAGCAAACAGGGTTAAATGACTTGCCCAGGGTCACGTAGCTAATAAGTGTCTAAGGCCAGATTTGAACCCAGGAAGATGAGTTTTCTTAACTCTAGGCCCAAGCATTTTATCCATTGTACCACCACCACCCTATGCATAAAATCAGAATAATGCAAATATCTGCACATATAGTTTTAGAAAAATTATAATAATCTGCCCCAAAACAATAAAATTGGAGATCATTGATGCTATATTTTCTTTGCCTACTTCACTGGACTGCTATTAAGACCAAATGAGAGTGATGATTAGGAAAGCCAGGTCCACTTAATAAGGTTAAAGGAATATTTGGGCCTTTGATTATGGGAGAAAGTATCTCATTTTACCTCCTAGATAGGTGAAGCCTTAATTTGGATTAAATGAAGAAGGCCAAAGGATTTTGTTTATAGATTGCATCTTTCTAGAGAAGGTATGGGTAAACTCACTGACATCTTGTTGGGATGATTGAGGTCATCTTTTTGTTGGGTCATGGAGAGTGTCCTGGGCCAAGATACTTTTATATCTCTTTGTACTTGTTAAGGAATGAGTGATTATATATATGCAGAGTAGTTTATAATCCTAAGTACTAAATGAATATATAACTTATTATTGTTGTTTCAGTTGGTGCTTGATAAAGCCTTGTTGATGGATAGCTAGATTTATTGGGAAGTGAAGAGCAGGATCTGAGGACCTTTGGTTGGGTGAGCTTTATAGTACCTGAAACTCTAGGAAAGCAAGGTCCAAAGAAAACAGAATAATAATAACCCACATTTATAGAACATTTGATTGAATTTTCCAAACATTTTTAGCTTCTGTTGTATAGAGATTGCTCAGTTAGGATTTAAGGATGCAAAGCAACACAGTTTCTCTATAATCCTCTAGATTTCAAAGCAAGGAAACAATTAGAAAAATCTAATCATAGAGAATGAGATCCTGTTTATTTACCTTTTTTTTTTTTAAAAAAAAGTGGGAATCAGGCTTAGATTCTTAAAATCTAGCCACTGCTTAGATTCTTACAATCTAGCCAATAGCTCACAATCTAGCCCACAGATGCTCAGATTCCTTAAGAGTCTGGCTAATATGGTGAATCTTCAATAAACCATGTTTTTGGCTGAAAGAAGTCTTGGGTCAAATTCTTTTGGGAAGGATCTGTGTGTTGTGATTTTGGGGTCCCAGGACCCCTGAACCCCTAGACTGCATCATTTTGGTGGACCGTACAGGGAAACTGTCTAACCCCAAGTTCTTCTCCAGCCAAGACTGAAAGGTATGCAAGCCTCCCTCCTCCCCTCTTTTCTTGCTCTGCAGTTTGGGTTGCTCTCCAAGCACTAAGGCTTGGAGGTGCTTTTCTGACAGGCAGTTATGAGTCTGTCTCTCACTCGGCCTGATGCTCTCAGGCTCTCAGTCCACTGGGTCGGTTCAAGGCCATGAACCTGGGTACACATTCTGCAGCATAGAGGACAAGGATGGACACCCTATCTGGAAGTGTATGCTCAATTCTGTTAATTCCCTCCGCACTAGGGAATTGGGGAAAACTGCAGTTGCTTTTTGGTTCCCTGAGGCTTACTTACTCCCTTCCCTCTGCACCTCTGAATCCTCCTCCCTGGAGGTTACAGGGAAAGTTAGAACAGCTAAAAATATCTTGGCATATTCTGGAGGTTTTGTGATTGATCGTTATGGAGTTTTGAAACACCTGTACAACCTGGTCACTCCCTTCCCTTGAGTCAAGAGGGTATCTGTTAACCCCTCTCATAGGAGAAGAGAGTTTCACCCTTTACCCCTCACCTTTGATTTTGCCTTCTCCCACCTGGGAAAGGAAGAAGAGGAGAGGGGCAGCAGCTACAGCGTGGGCCCCCCCTGGCAATGGCCTTGGGCTGTAGGGCAACTTTTGCCTGGAAGCATCACTCAGGTTCAGAGCATCCTGCTCAAGGTAATGAAGCTAGTTTCCGAACTTGGGTAAGCACGTTCTTTTAAATTTGTAGTTTTAACTGTTAACGATGAGATGTTGATTCTCTGTGTAAAGCAATTTGGAAGTGCATTTAACAAAACTGAAGTCACCTGATTGGTAATGGGTTTGTTTCAAGTTTCAAATTGGTGTACTTTCTGTATCAATTATGTCAAGCAACTTTTCATAATTTGGTTACTGCTAAAATAATTTAGCTATTGTTGGTTATTGTTTTAACGTGTAAACTAGCCAAAAAGCTTGTTTGGGTTATGGCTTGCTGAGAATTTGCAAGTGTATAGAAATCTCTAATGATTGGCTTTTTACACCAAGACAAATTTAAGTTTGAGATGTAAATCCTGGAAAAGTTTTTCCTAAGCTGTAATTAGTAAAACTTGCTGTTTGAGGTAAAAGCTCATAGGATTTTATTTTCAGTTGTCTGATGGGTCATAATCCATCGATAATCAATAATCCACCATCTGAGAGAAATGCCACAAGCTACTCAGAGAAGGTGATACTGGTAGGAAATCAGCATTGCGAAAAATGAGAGGACAATTTTAGCCTCAGCCTTAAGATGGGATCCTCCTGGCACAGTTTCCCCATTATGTTCCTTTGAAAGGGAATGTTACCCACCTGGCTACTCCTGAGTCTGGCTATGAGGTAGATTTGATACTGCATGGCTGGAAAACTGAATTATCTGAATCCAAACAGAGCTAAGGATGTTTTATCCTCTTAAAGTTAGGCCCTAAATCTAGTCCCTGCTTTATATCTGGGCCCTGCAGTTGTTTCTGTCAGATTTGCGTCTTCCAGACTATGGACCATTCACCTACAGTTGGTAGCAAGCAGCAGGTACCAACCAATATC